TGGCCTTGTCGTCCTGAGCAGCCTGTGGGGCAGCAGGGGGGGGGGGGTTAATGGAGACGCTCAGCACAGAGCCCAGCAGCACAGGGAACAACATCTGGATCCATGCAGCAGATGTTGCACCAGACTGCACGTCCACACGAGTCCACGACTAAATGCCACAAAACTGAGTAAAACTGAGTAAAACTGAGGTAAAACTGAGGTAAAACTGAGCGAAAAGGAGTAAAAACTGAGTAAATATTAGTGAAAATGAGTAAAAACTGCATAAATCTGAGGGAAAACTGAGGTAAAACTGAGTGAAAACGAGTAAAATTGAGTGAAAATGGAGTGAAACTTAATGAAACTGAGTGAAACAGCCAAAAAAGGACAAAAATCTGACAATCCAGAAGGAAGGAAATGATTCAGGATTCACCACAAAACCTGGTTAACCCATTAAAAGCAACACAAACACAATAAAACTGCTTTTACAAATCCTGTTTAGCTGGGGAAGTAGCAGATTTACGGGCAGAACATGGGCGGTTTGTTATTGTAAGCATCCATTTTTCAACAGAAAAATGATTTTTTTAGTTCCAGCTTCCTGGCTGATTTAATTTTAGGTTACTGACGGACAAAAAACCTGCTGCCAAAGTGTTTTCATGTCCTGTGATGGCAGGAAAATATTCAGTCTTCAGTGGGAAAAAAGAGAGGGGGAACATTTTATGTTTGATGGTGTGTCTAGGTTAATAAAATAAAAATAAAAATGTAAACCGCATAGCAGCAACATCCAGTCTGATGTGTTTTTACCCCCCAAGACACTGAACATCAGCTGTGTTTTTTTACAGCAGAAAACAGTTAAAAGTTAAACCAAAAAAAACACTGAAAAAATATATTTTTGTTGCTTTTTTAAACAGATAACAGTGGGAAAATTAAATTGTGTTGCTCTTTTACATTAGAAAACAGAGAAAAAAATCATTTTGTTGCATTTTTAAAGCAGATAACAGTGGGGGAAAAATCATTTGTTGCTTTTTTCCAGCAGAAAACAGTGAAACTTTTAAATTTAGTTGCTTTTTAAAGTAGAAGACAGCAAAAAATGAAGCTTCCTTGCTTTAGATTTGAGCACATTCATCGCCTGAATGCAGAATAAATAAGTCAGAAGTTACTGATCAAGACTTCCTTCGTTTAATTTTTGCACGACTACTTTTTTCTTCTACTTAAATAAAATAAGTAACCACACTCTGATTTGGGGAGAACTTTTGGCTAGTCTGCTGAGAACACTGCACATTTGTTTATACATTCTGTATTTATTCAGCAAAAAATGGCTTAAAAATAAGGAAACTAAAAGGCTCAGGACTCCCAGAAGTCAGCTTATATCATTTCTTCCATTAAATGTGTGTGAAGACTGCTTTAATATTAACCAAAGTTATGCCAGGAAACTTAAAAATGACGTTTTTTAAGCCTATTTAGACGAATTTGTGGCTAAAGCAAACAAAATGGGCTTAGCTTTAGTTTAGTTAGCTTTAGTTCAGCCAGCGACAGAGAGCGCTGTTGTAGGGTGAGAGTGGGACTGTGAGACAGAAAAGGGAGCAGATCTGAGGATGCTGGCAGAGCCCCGGAGAGGCGGGCCGCTGGTTTACCTTCCTGCGGTGCTTGCGCAGGTCGCTAGGCTGAAAGCATGGCGAGAAAGGAGAGAGAAGAGCAGTTAGTGAGAGAGCACAGCGGGCGGGCGGCGGAGCAGAGCCATGCACAGACACAGCAGCAGGGCAGGAAACCACACCCCCAAACACAAAGGCCAATCAGGCGGCGGCCAATCGGACGCTCGGATCCAGTGAACCTGGATGGAAACGAGCCGTTTTTTCAGGCAACTCGCACCCATAAGGAGGGTGAGACGTGGTCGATAAAAAAAAACAGAAGGGAGGAGGCAAAGTGGGAGGGATTTCTCCCGTGGACGCCCGGCTGTGGGAGGATCCGGGGCCACTAATCGCTCCCTTCCTCCAGCCGGCGGAGATTAGCCGGCTCTAAAAAGGGAAACAGGAAGCGGAAATTGAGGAGTGAGCAGGAAACGCGCGTAATGGGCAGAAATGTTCCCTCTGCTGCTCATTTAGGGGGTTTGAACGGTAGTTCAAACAGCAGCAACTGACTTAATTGGCTTTTTGGTTAAAAAAAAAAAAAAGCAGAAATCCTCCATTCGAAACGCAAAGAAACGTCCCAAAAACACAGACTTTTACTTCTGAAACTGAAGGATTTGAACGGAAGGATCCTCCACAAGTGGGTGGAAGTCTAGAAACATCTGGGAGTTGTGATGAGTCAGAGACTGGACACAGCAGCTCCTCTAACAGACTGGACACAGCTCCTCTAACGGTTTATCTTCTACTACTACTTATTGCTGTATTTTTTAGTTCTATACTTTCTGTAAAGAAGAATATTGACTTTTTAATTATGATATCTTGATCTTGCTGCTACTGAATCATTTCCCAGCTTGAGATCAAAGTAAATCCATCCACCCATCTATTCATCCATCTATTCATCCATCTTCAGGACCCCGCCTCCAGCTTAGCTGGACCCTGAGCTGGACCCATGAGAGGACCAATAAGAGGAGACGTGAGCTGGACCCATCAGAGGACCAATTAGAGAAGACCTGAGCTGGACCCATCAAAGGACCAATCAGAGAATACCTGAGCTGGACCCCATCAGAGGAGACCTGAGCTAGACCCATCAGAGGAGATCTGAGCTGGACCCATCAGAGGAGACCTGAGCTGGACCCATCAAAGGACCAATCAGAGGAGACCTGAGCTGGACCCATCAGAGGACCAATCAGAGGAGACCTGACCTGGACCCATCAGAGGAGACCTGAGCTGCACCCATCAAAGGACCAATCAGAGGAGACCTGAGCTAGACCCATCAGAGGAGACCTGAGCTGGACCCATCAAAGGACCAATCAG